CCGTCATTCAAAAATTCACAAATGACAAATGCTGGAGAGGGTGTGGAGAAAAAGAACCCTCTTACAGTCATGGTTGGAATGTAGTTTGGTGCAACCAATAGGGAAAACAATATGGAAATCCCTCAAAAAAGTAAAAATAGACTTACTATATGATCCAGCAATCCCACTCTTGGGCATTTATTCAGAGGGAACTCTAATTCAAACATACATGCACCCCAATGTTCATAGCAGCACTATTTACAATAGCTAAGACATGGAAACAACCTAAATGTCCACTGACAGATGACGGGATAAAGAAATTGTGGTATATTTCTACAATGGAATACTACTCAACCATAAAAAATAATAAAATAATGTCATTTGCAGCAACATAGATGGACCTGAGATTGTCATTCTAAGCGAAGCAAGCCACAAAGAGAAAGAAAAATACCACATGAAATCACTCATATGTGGAATCTAAAAAAAAAGACAGATGAACTTATTTACAAAACAGAAACAGACTCACAGACATAGAAAACAAATTTTCAGTTACAGGGTGATGTGGGAAGAGATAAATTGGGAGTTCAAGATTTGCAAATACTAACTAACATATATACATAAAATAGATAAACAATACGCTCATACTATATAGCACAGGAAAATTGTATTTACTATCTTGTGGTAACTTATGGTGAAAAAGAATATGAAAAATGAATATATGTATGTTCATGTATGACTGAAGCATTATGTTGTACACCAGAAAGTGACACAACATTGTGAACTGACCATACTTATATACACACACACACACATATACATATATATACATGTGTGTATATACATATACATATATATATATATAACTTTTTTTAAAAGAGAGATTGATGTTTGGGAAATCCACAAAGTCAAGTTAGCAGCATGCAGAACTACTCCTGAACTTAAGGAATCAATACAGACTAAGAGAAAGAACCATATATTTCTCAAAATCAAGGGAGCAAGTGCTTTGGTTAGCAAGTAAGTTGAGGGATACCCTAAGACCATGACGGTTGACCTGGGTATGAGATTTAGAATAACAGTCATTAAAACCCTGATTATGGTATAAACCCAGGCCCTGCTTAAGTAAGTGCTGGGAGTACACTCATAATCACCTGCCTGTCCATGGATTGTGCTGTTGATCTCCGTGTACCATTAGACTTTGTGCACTGTTTCATATACCCAGAAAGTCTAGAAACAATAGTACAAGTATGGACACATAAAAGCACTATCTAGGCTGGCCCAGTGTTGCTTGGTGCTTTAAGCACGTAAATGTCTTTAAGGAATCATTCCTCTCCAGGAGAACATGTCAGGTTCTCCTTACAGGAGACTGTACCAGAGATCCAGCCTCTGCAGAAGACTGTTCCTTCTGAGCTTCCTGCCACACCCGCTTTACCTCACAGTCTGTTCTCTCCATTTCCCTGGCCATTGCCCCTGCTGTACATCTATCACTTTATCATCAGTTTTCCCCAAAATTCAGTGTACCATAAGCTTCTTTCAGCTGTGGACCTCATTTTCCTTCCGAGAAAAGTTGAGTCTCATAGTGACAAGGCCCATGCAAAGCCAGCAAGCCAGCCCCAGGAGCCTCATCCTTCTGTGCAATGCTACTGCAAGTGGCTCAGCTGATGGGCCCCAGGCAGGCACAACCTTTGAAGATGAAACAGAGTGTTATTCTCCCACCTCTCCCTGCTGTCTTACCACTGCCCTGGGAGATGATGGTGAAGCATTACCTAAGCAGAAAAATTACCTGGAAAGTTTCTGTTTGAGACTTGCCTTAGGCCTACTTTACCATACCCTCATAGTAGTGACGCAGGAAACTACAAACCACTTTCAAGAGAACTGAGGGTGGTAACTGCAACCTACCAGCATAACTTGGTTGATTAGCATTTCCACCCTTTTTTATGTAATGATGAACAAGACCAGCGTCATTGTGCAGAGCAGCCTTATACAGTAAGTTCTCTCCAAAAATGTTTCTCCGGTTAATGTTAGAAAGAGACATTTTATTCATCTTCATCTTTTCTGAAATGAGGGAATGAACAAAAGAAAATTAAACAAAATTAAAAATCCTTAAAATCTTGAGGTTTGAAAATCATGGGGTGGGTATAGCTCAGTGGTAGAAAATGCACTTAGGCATGCATGAGATCCTGGGTTCAATCCCCAGTACTTTCATTAAATAAACAAATATTTACACCTAATTGCCACCCCTCCCTCAAAAAAAAAAACCAAAAATAAAGTAAAATAAAATGTTTTTTTGAAAAATAGAAAATCAGAGAGAACACAGGTTAACAGGATGAATGCTGTCAACATTCTGGAATAAAGGTATATTATGAAGAAGTATCATCCATTAACCGAACTATAATGGTATCTACATGCAAAAAGTGAAAAAGACGAATGTCATTAGTTTGAAAATATGTGACTAAATTATAAATCATGTAATCAGCTTATGTTGACTGAAACCCCAGGAAAGGTACATATATGAGAAGACTGACAGATTACCTTCTTAAAAGTTCTGGTGAAAGAGATCATTTAAATCTAGAATTAGATGTTATTAATACCTAAAAAAATGTTGTAATACCAAAATGTCTTATAAAATCATGAGGAGAAAATCTCAGAAGTGCATAAGGAAGATACAAAAATTAACCCCAGCAAGACCAGAAAAGAGAATGCTAAGTTTTCTTTCTCTGCTGAAAATAGTTGTCATGAAATTAAATAAAGAACTATGATCTTGATCTGTAAAACAGTTTTGACTTCTTAAGCTGGAAATATACAATTAAAATAGTTTTCCAAGTTATGTATACCAAGTATCATTTTTCCACCGTGCCTCCTAAAATGCTAAAAAAACTTCTGATTTAGATAATCCAAATCCTGCCAATTTTTGGTTTTCCTGAATTTCAGAACAGCTTTGATGATAGATTTTTCCAATTTTGATCTGAATAACCTGCCCCATTCTAAAACCTCAGAAAGGTAATTGGGTACTGCAGCAGATTTCTTAATGGACCACAATTTACTGCTTTGCTTTTATTTGATTCCCTTCATTCAGTTGCACTGTAAAACAAACCAACTGCTGAAAATTTGAGACTGCCTTCCCCACTCCAAACTACAAACCATCCTGCTCCCACCAGATAAACTATATGCTTACCAAAAATCAGTAGTCTCTACTCCCAGACCAGTCTTTGCGAGTTGTACTTGCTGTTATAGTTATGTAATTTATTAAAAATATCAGATTAAAAAGAATATAAAAATCATCAGTGAAAACTTAGTCATCAAAGACATTCACTTCCAGTCATGACTAAAAAACTGTGACTTGCCATCCCACTGTAAACAACTAGAACACTAGACAAAATATATGGGGGGAAGAAAGGTATATTCAGACATTGCAAAACAGGTAGTTCAGATCTATGTCTTTCCTGAGTGAAGGCAAACACTGAAGTGAGCCCTAAGGTCACTCCAGCTTCTTGTCTGGAGACTTTTCAGAGTATTGCACAAGAATACCAAGGTGACTCCGCTGAATTAAGGAGACAGATTAGAGTTTGAGGAAGATGGCGTGAATAGCATTTGCACGGTAGGGCACCAAAGATGAGGGAATAGAGAAAAGGTACCAGAAATCTATACGGAGGGCTCCATGAGTTGTTATCTGAATACTAAACCGCTTATCTGTGGGGTGAATCATCATGAGGCCAGGCAAGAACAACTACCCAGGAACTATAAACTGACAGCTGTCAGAGATCACACAGGGTGGGAGACATTCACATTACTGCCAGCCTGAAGAGAGAGACCTTGCTGAACAATTGGGGCATTTAGAGAGACCCTTAATGGGTCATGTCTTAATCACAGGGCTAAATAGACCCTGAGTAAAGCCTACACTAGACTTGCTTAACAGGGTTTTCAGTGTTGAAAGGATCAAGCTGATCTTCAAGTAATTTGTTGGCCAAAACAAAAATCAACAGTCTTCAAATATACAGAGAGAGACACTCAACATTGTGCTGCATATGGATATCCAACTGTTCACCACTTTATCAAAGCTCAGGGTTTATTTCTGAACTTCCTTCTCCTTCCACTGATCTATCATCCTATCTTGACTGCAGTGCCATGCTGTTTTGATTACTTATAGCCATATAATAATTCTTGAGATCAGGTAGTGTTAGTCTCTAACTTAATTTTTTACCAGAGTTGTCTTACTATTCTAGGTCCTTTGCATTCCTTATGAATTTGAGAACCAGCTATTGAATTTCTGCCAAAAACCCTCCCAGGATTTTGATTGGGATTGTTTAGAATCCATAAATATATCTGAGTAGAAATAACATCTTAACAATATTGACTCTTCTGACTGATGAACAAGCTGTATCTCTCCATTTCTCTCCATCAAATTTTCCTCGGTTTCTCTGAATGGTATTTTATAGGTTTCAGTATACCTATCTTATACATCTTTTGTCAAATTTTATCCCTAAGTATTTTTTGATATTGTGGTATAAATTTAACTAATTGCTTGGTTTTCAAATTTTACTGTTTGTTGCTAGAATATAGAAATATAACTAATATTTGTATATTGATCTCATTTCCTGCAACTCTGCTAAACTCACAGTAACTTTTATTGCAGATTCCATCAGATTTTCTATATACATGATGACATCATTTGTGACTAAAGACTGTTTTACTTCTTTTCCAATATGGATGCCTTTTGTTTTTCTTCCTTATTGTACTGGCTAGAACCTCCAGTACAATGATCAGCAGAAGCGTTGAGAGCAGACATCCGTCTTACTTCTGATCCTAAGGGGAAAGCACTCAGCCTTTCATCACTGAGTATGATAGCTGTGTATTTTTTGGTAGATGCCCTCTGTCAGGGTGACCAAGTTCTCCTCTATCCTTAGTCTGCTGAGAGTTTTCATCAGTAATGGATGTTAGATAACTGTCAAAATCTGTCTCTGCATCTATTGAGATAAGCATACGGTTTTTCTTTTTTAGTTTATTAATATAACAAATTATAGTGAGTGATTTTTCAAACGTAAAGCCAACCCAGCATCCCTGGGATAAATCTCCTTGGTCATGATATTATAAAGTTAGATAGTTGAATAGTTGGAAGTTCATGATGATATAAAGTTGGATATGATTTGCTAAAATTTAATTTAGATTATTGCATCTAAGTTCATGAAGAATACTGAGCTGCAGTTTTCTCTTCTTGCAATGTCTTTGATTTTGGTGTCAGTTTAATGGTGACCTCGTAAGATGAACTGGGAAGCATTTCCTCATCTTCAATTTTTTGCATAAGTTTGTGGATAACTGGTATTATATCTTCCTCAAATGTCTGGTAGAATTCACCAGGGAAGATGTTACAGACTGAACTGTGTCATCACAAAATTTATAAGTTGAAATCCTTATATAATAGGGTTGGTATTCCTATAAAAAAGGAAGAGGTACCAGAGTTCTCTGCACACACAAAAAGGACACTGCAAGAACGCACTCTCTGCAAGCCAGGAAGAGAGGTCGCAGCAGAACCCAAAATTCCCAGCACTTTTCCAGGACTTTCAGCCCCCAGAACTGTGAGAAAATAAATTTGTCATTTAAGCCATCTAGTTTGTGGTATTTAGTCATGTAGCCCTAGCAGACTAATATAGAAGGCATCTGGGCCTAGAGGTTTTTTTTTTGATTTAGTTTTTGGTGAGGAAGTTTTTAATTACAGATGCAATTTATTTAACAGATATGTTATTATTCAGGTTGCCCACTTCTTTCTAATAATTTGTGTCTCTCAAGGAATTTGTCCATTTCATCAAAGCTGAATGTATTGGCAAAAAGTTGTTCATAATGTTCCCTTATTATCCTTTTCATATCTGTAGATCATGTCATGATGTTACCTCTCCTGCTTCTGATATTGGTAATATATGTCTTCTCCCTTTTTTTCCTGGTCAGTTTGGAAGAGGCTTATCAATTTTACTGATCTTCTCCAAGAACCAGATATTGGTTTTATAGGTTTTTTCTGTTTTCTGTTTCATTGATCTTTGCTTTACTATTGTTTTTGTCTTTACTATTTCCTTTCTTCTGTTAACTCTGGACTTCATTCACTCTTCTTTTTCTAGTTTCTTAAGACAGAAGTTGATGCCACGGATTTGAGAGTGTTCATTTCTAACACAGGTATTTAGTACTATAATTTCCCCTGATAATTACTCTTTTCATGACATCTCCAAGTACTGTTATATTTTCATTTTACTTTAGTTAAAAACACTTTCAAATTTCCTTTAAATTTCTTCTTTAACCCATGAACTATTTTAAAGTGTGCTGTTTAGTTTCCAAATATTTCAAGATTTTATAGAGATCTTTCTGTTACTGATTTCTGATTCAATTCTATTTGGTGTCAGAGAAAATACTCCTTATGACTTTAATCATATTAAATTTATTGATACTTACTTTATGGCCCAGCATATAAACTACCTTGATAAATATTCTGAGTGCATTAGAAAAGAATGCATGATTTTTTGTTCTTGGGTGGAAAGTTTTATGAATGTTAAATAAGTCAAGATGGTCGACAGTGTTGTTTAAATATTCTATATCCTTACTGATAATCTGTCCACTTGGGTTACTATAATGAGCTCTCAATCCCTGAAAAAGTGGTACTGGAATCTCTGACTGTAATTGTGGATTTGTCTATTTCTTCTTGCAGTTTTATTAGTGTCTGCTTCAGGTATTTTGAAACTCTATTATTGAGAGAATAACTGTTTACTTTAAATAAACACTCAGGAGTAGAATTGCTGGACTGTATGGTGAGGAAATCGCCATACTGTTGTCCACAGTGGCTGCACCAATCTACATTTCCACCATCGCTCCCCTTTGCTTTTATTTTCCAGAATTGTCTTGGCTAGACTTTTATATTTACTTTTCCACCGAAGATTTTTTATCATTCTCATAGCTAACCTTCTGTTATACAAAGCAAAATAAAATAAAAGAAAATAATTAACAAATAAACAAAAATCTGTTTTTGATTGAGCTCTCATACATTTACAGAATAATTAAGGGAGAAGAAAAATTACTCACAACACTGAATTTTTATGGTCAAGAATGAGGTTCTTCTTTCAATTTATTTCAGTCTTTCTATATGTACCTCAGCAGAATTTCATACTCTCCTCTTACAGGTGTGGCAATTTCTGATTAGGTATATAAGTAGGTATTTTCTCTCCTGTGTAACTATTATAAATGGGATCTTCTCTTATATTTTGTAACTGGGTTATATATATTTATATATATATATGTGTGTGTGTGTATATATATATATATGTAAAGTATTTTTGTCTTCTTTTGGTTTATTGAATTTTTTCAACTTTTTAGCTGGAAATAATTTCACTTTTAAAAACGTTGTAAAAATAAAACAAATGACTCATCCATTGTTAACATTTTGTCCTCTCCCTCCTTATACATACATACTCTCTCCCTCCTTACACACACATACATATGCACACAGACACATATAGACATAAAGAGTAACTTGTATACACCATGCCCATTTATTCACTAATACACAAGTCATATTCTCTAAAAACAAGGACATTATCTTATATAACTAAACTATAATTTGGGAAATTTAACATGGATACAATGTTATCATTTAATCTACAGCCCATATTTCAGTTTTGCCAACTGAACAATTACCTGTTATTTGGTAAATAGTCTTTCTAAATTCTCATTGTTTCTGACAGTTTTTTACTTCATTCTTTAGTGTTTTATAGGAACAAAGAAACAACATGTAAAAATACAAAAAAATTGCCTTCTTTCTTCTATTTATTCTTCTTGGTATAATTTCCCAAAGCCTATGCTAGCTTGGTCACACCACAAATAGGTCAAACATCTAAATTTGAAAAGGGTTCTGAAACTAACCTCTCAACAGTATAAGTATAGGAAATATACCAGCCTATGAGGCAGAAGTTCAGGATCAAGTCCTAGTTATACTACTAATGAGCTGTGCAGTGCTGGGAAAAATCCTTAACCTCTCTGAACTTCCTCATCAGTAAATGAGAAAGTTGTATCTCTAAATCCTTTTTAGTACCAGAATTCTATGTTTCTTTAAGTTACTTATTTAAAGAAGTAAAGAAATAAAATATGCCTTACCATTTTTCCGTGTAAATTTTTTGTTTTTCCTGATCTGTTCTCTACTCTTGAGTCTGGATGAATGCACAGTCTTCCCTTTACCTTCAATCCTTAAAGCAAGATTCTGCATTCTTGAAAAATAAATGTGGTTTTAAAATTACTATCACATTCTCTACAACCACTCATAGAGAATCACACCAAACTTTTAACTAAATTTCTTAAAAACTCGAAGGTATTTTACTGAGCTGCTGTCAAACTGCATGGCAGTTTTAAATATGGAGATGGCTCCTGAGTCAATTGCAGATAATTCTGTGAGCGACATGCCATTATGGTTTCCAGCCTTGTCTTTGTGCCACCCGTGGGTTTCTCTTCTTTGGAGGCAGTCACCCACAAGTGTGAGTGTTCCGAGTCTCCTAGCCCTCACTCCCTACGTTGGCATTTCACTATCCACTGTATTCACAGCTCCTAGGTAAAAAGAAACAGGCTCTTGCAAGAAAAAAAGGACTTGCCATGTGGTAAGGCACTGATTAAAAACTGCAAAATGCTGGCATAAAAACAGACACAGAGATCAATGCAACAGAATAGAGAGCCCCAAAGTAAAGTTGCTTGTATATCGTCAATTAATTTATGACAAAAGAGCCAAGAATACACAATGGGGAAAGGATAGTCTCTTTAATAAACAGTGTTGGGAAAACTAGACAGCCACATGCAAAAGAATGAAACATATCACACACAAAAATCAACTCAAATGGATTAAAGATTTAGATGTAAGATTTGAAACTATAAACTCCTAAGAAAAAACATAGGGAGTAAATAAGCACTCTGACATCAATCTTTGCAAGGATTTTTTTGGATTTGACACTGAAAGCAAAGGCAACAAAAAGCAAAAATAAAGAAGTGAGACCACATCAAACTAAAAAGTTTCTGTACAGCAAACAAAACTATCAACAAAATGAAAAGATGACCTATCAAATGGGAGAAAATATTTGCAAATCATATATTTGAAAAGGGGTAAATATCCAAAACATGTAAAGAACTCATACAACTCAACAGCAAAAACAAACAATCCAATTAAAAAATGAGAGAGGAAATAAAAGGACATTTTCAAAAAAGACATCCAAATGGCCAACAGGTACATGAAAAGGTTCTCAGCATCACCAATCATCAGGGAAATGCAACTCAAAACCACAATGAGGTATCACCTCACACCTGTCAGAAAGGCTATTATCAAAAAGACAACTAATAACCAGTATTAGGGAGGTTGTGGGAAAAAAAGGAAGTCTTATGCATGGTTGATTGAATGTAAGACAGTGCAGCCACTATGGAAAACAGTATGGGGATTCCTCAAAAAATCAAAAATACAACTACCGTATGATCCAGCAATTCTGCTTCTGGGTATTCATCCAAAGGAAACAAAATCACTGTCTTGAAAAAAAATCTGCACCCCCATTTTCACTGCAGCATTATTTACAATAGCCAAGACATGGAAGCAACCTAAGTATCCATCGATGGATGAATGAATAAAGAAAATATGATACACACACACACAATGGAACTGTACTCAGCCATAGAAAAGAAGACAATCCTGCCATTTGCAACAATGTGAATGAACAGGCCTTGAGGGCATTATGCAAAATGAAATAAGTCAGACAAGAAAGACAAATACCGTATGATCTCACTTACAAGTGGTATCTTAAAAAAAAACAAACCCATATTCATAGATACAGAGAACAGACTGGTAGTTGCTGGAGGTGGGGGATGGGGTGGGTAGGTGAAATGGGTGAAGGTGGTCAAAAGATACAAATTTCCAGTTACAAGATAAGTAAGTCCAGGGAATGTAATGTACAGCATGGTGACTATAGTTAATAATACTGTACTGTATATTTGAAAAGTTGCTAAGAGAGTAGACCTTAAAAGTTGTCATCACAAGAAAAGGAAATTTGTAACTATGTGTGGTGATGGATGTTTAAGAAAGAAAGAAAATTAGCATTAGGCTGAAATACAACAATCTCCCATTACTCTGTCTTAAAAAAAAGTAAAAGTTTTCTGGGTTTTTTTTTCAATTGCAAAATAAATACAGTAACAACACTGAAAAATAAAGTTCTTTACTTAGAGGTAACTGTAACTCTAATATTCCAAGCACAAAATTATCTTTAGAGCTGCAGCATACCTGAAATTCTCAGTTGACGAGTTACTATTTGCTTGATCCTCACAGCCAAGTATTTTGGGTAAAATCTTCTCTGGCATCTTATATATGTCATTTGTGGGCTTTGCAACTCTGCCTGCTTTCAGTCTGGACGATCTCCTTAACACACATGGAGTGTCCTGGTCAGAGTGATTTTCCACTGGATTTGAATTTCCCTTATTATTTAGTGGATTATAAGAGGCGACATTTTGATGAACCAAAGTTTGCAATCCTAATGGATTTGGGTCTTCAAGAGTCTGTAATACGATGTAAGTACATACACAAATAATTATAACAATGCAAAAAAAATTAAAAGTAGAAAAAATTAAGTTTTATCTTGTCCTTTGATCACACAAAAATATCTCGTAAGATGGAAGTGAAAAACTCATAGACATCTATGAACATGATGAAAATTTTGTAATAATTTTGTAATAAACTAAAAGGTAATGCAGATTTAAAAGCCTAAGACTGGAAGAACATAAGTAAAAATTATTTTTATCAACATTGATCCTTAAAAATCAAGGGTAAACCTAAGGTCACTCTGGGTACTTTAATTTCACAGGAAATGGGTAGCATACAATGATGCCAGACACATAAAAACAGTGGGCTAGATCAATGTTCCATTCAGCCTACTATTTTGTTATTTGACAGAAACAGTATGTAGTATTTACGGGATAAGATAGTATATAACCTCCATTATATTGATTTTGAAAGGTTAACAGTGTATCATGAATGGTTCTAACTTCCCTTTAATAATCCATTATAGATTTAACTTTCATGAGGATATATATTTTTCTACGTATCATGCAAATCCTTCTTGAATTGATTTGTATATCCAGCTTGCAAAGCTTCTCAATCTCATATTTTTATTATAGTTGAATAAGAGTATTTAATTGGATTTATTCTAAATCAATCTCCTTTCTACTTTAAAGCAGACTTTTTTTTTGAGGACCTGCTAAATTCATGCTCACTCTGTCAATACCAATCATAATTTCCTATACTTTATTCATATTACCTCTTTTTAGACTAGAACCCTGGAATGTTTAATTTAATCCTATGCCCTTTCCCTAAGATTAGTTTCTCTTTTCTGGATTTTTAAAAATCTTATTATGTCTGTTTTGAAATTTTTTGACCAGAATTTTATGTAGTATTATTCCAAGTATGTATGTTATAACATGAACTCAGTATCATGTTATTTAAATCTTCCAAGAAATGTTCATAGGAGCATTTTAGTAATAGCCAGAAGGAAAAAAAAAGAAAGAAAACAATGCAAATGATCATCATGAGAGAAACTGGTCAAATAAGTTATACTATTATACATACATATAAATACATGCACACACAAAATATAGCCATACAGTGGAATACCATTCAACAAGTAAAAACATTTAAGTACTGCTACATTTGTCGACATAGAAAGATAATCAAGATGTACTATTAAATTTAAAAAACAAGTTGCAAAGCACTATGCACAATATAATCCCATTACATAAAACAAATTTACATAGAATATGCATATAAAAATGGAGGCCTACACCAAACTGTTAACAGTAATTATCTCTAGAAAGTGCAATTGTGGGGGACTTTTTCTTCCTGTATTATTATGTATTGCTATATTTGATTTATTTATAATGAGGCTGTATTGCTATTTTAATGAGGAAAAAAATAAAGATTATTTTTATCTATCCTACATATGCCTGTCAGTATCCACAAATTTCGAACTCCCAGCCTGTCCCTTTCCACTCCCCAAGATTATTTTTAAAAGGAAAAAAATTATCAACAAGAAAAAGGGACTTGGCAAATGGTAGGCTACTAGAGGGTCTCAAAGTGTAATACTCTAGGAATTCCAAATCAAGGACTGTGTCACCTGACAGTATCTTCAGACACAGAATGTAAAGATCTATTGAAGCCAGGCATAAGTTTTTCCCTCTCCTGGCAGCCCAACTGCATATATTTTATGTCCAACTAGAAGTTAACATGGGGTATCTCATCTCTACTCTGTATCCAGGTAGACACAGTGATATTGTAAGGTAACAGGGATAATTCTGGTAAAGAATTTTTTCCTTGTATGTAAGCAATCTAATGATGATATATCCTCTTAGGTTTTTAGGGGAGAAACTTACCTATTTTTACTTTTTAATCCCTTGAAAATTTTACCCTGGGAACCTCAAAAAATATCACTGTATTCTTCAAAATCAAGATGTATCTTCTGAGTGTTGGTATATGGATAGAAGGTTTGAATTTTTTTAAATAACTTACTTTTTAAAATTTTTTATTTTTTAAATTTTTTAAGGGGGAGAGGTAACTAGGTTTGTTTGTTTGTTTGTTTTAATGGAGGTACTGGGGATTTAACCCAGGAAAGGCATGCACTCTACCACTCAGCTATATATCCTCCCCCGCCAGAAGGTTTGCATTTAAAATAAACTATATGGGCAAGGAAGACTTGTTAAAGGTTACTATAAAAGGCAAAATCATAGACTCATGCTTACTTACTTGCTGCACTGAAAGATGCTTGTTCTGCAGCTCAGCCAACCTGGAATCTTGTTCAAATGGTGGAGCAGAACAAAGAGTCTCAAAATTCACCTCTGCTACTTGTGTACAATCTTCATCAATCTGAGACATACTAGGCTCCACTTCTAAACATTCATTTCCAGTACTGAGACAAATGCCTCCCTCTTTTCTGTGACAGATGGGTTCCACCTTGGCTTCTGACAATGTATTTAGGGCTGCTAACAACTCAGCTGGCAATGCATCATCCTTTGTGTTTTCTAGTAAATCTTCGTGACATGTCAAAGGCATTGATAGGGAACTCAAAGAGTTGCTCAATGGGTTCATCAACTCTCTAGGTTTAAAATTACTCACTATTCCAAACAATCTTTCCTCCTGGGTGATTTCTGGTGATGTTAGTAATCCTTCCAAGGCAGACACAAAAGTTTCAAGAGAGCTTTCTTCATCCTTGGTTTCTTTAGAAGTCACGGTTAACACGACTTCCTTTCCAGGCTCAGAAAACGTATTTGGTGCTGCTAAGATCTTCTTTGGCTCTATTAATGATTTTTCCTTTACAGCAAATTTACTAGATTCTTCAGTAATAGTACCTGAGAGAAGGCTTATTTCAGGAGAGTCTCTGCCTGCACTTAGTTCCTGTATATTCCAAACAGAAGTTCCATCATTATAGTGTATACAAAAGTGTTTAAAATGAAAATGCCATAGTATTCTAGTTGATCATATTGCTAAGCTACCTTCAAAAAGCTTTATCAACTGTCCTCCCTTCCATAAATAAAAATACTCTTTATTACTTTCTTATACCAAAGTACTAATGACTGTGAATACATGGTTAAACATTCAATAGTGGACCAAGGATAAAATTGGCTGGGCCATAATTACAGATGGCAATTATCTATTCAGCTAAATTGAAATTATCTGGGCTAAGGGAAGAGGCAGCAATGACATGGCTAGTTAAATTAACAGATAATCTAAAAACTTCCCTGCAGTTAATGGTTGTAAAATTCTCCTTGCTAAAAATCTCTATTGAATTTAATTTAAATTACTAAATGGGAACAAAATTGGTATAGTTTCACCTTTTTATTCCTCACCTCTGTGTAAATATGTAAATGTGAAGTAAAGAACAGGAGGTCAGTGGGAAAAAGAAAAGAAATGAATTTTCTATGAAAACATTATAAGCTCTGGCTATAAATCAATGGTTCTCAGTTGTGGTTACATTAAACAAAAAACAGAAAATTCTTATTTCTAAATGACTATTATTTTAAAAGACATCACCTTAATAGGTTATACATTTCCTCACCATGTTTCCAATGAGCAAAATATTATTGGACCTCCTATTTTGAAGTGCTTTCAAAATCATTTATAAGTCATTCAAGAAAATCAGTCTCAATACTTTAAAGGCACTGGACTTTTTTCCTTCATTAAAACTGTTAATTTGCTTGACCTTACAAAACAGAATGGGTTTCAAGTGACTTTTGGCTGTTTCTAAAAACCACATTCACCTTCACTTACACATCACTCTGCCAGGATGCACTGTAATTTGTAAGCCCCCTAATGCCCAAATTTGATTTGAATAAGAGAGGTGGAAAATATTTTATTCTCCTTCTCTTCCATTTATTTTCTCTTTACATAGCATACAGAGGTTGAGAAGATATATTTATTAGTAGTGCAAACTCTAATTTGCTCAGAAAGATAAAAGAAATTTAGAAGGAACTGAAAAGCTGGATCGTATCTATTCTTTAAGTCACAGTTCAAGGTCTCCCTCCTATTTGAAGTCCCTGTACCTACTAAATTCAAAGCCGTAAATGTAATAAAGTAAATATATTGAACTCTGCCCCAAAGGAACTTAGTTTCTAAGTGAATACTGAAGGCATTAATACATAAGATATTAAATAAATTATAAATAATGTCAAAAATGAACTCAAATGAATGGCATAAACCATAGCCCTAGTATTGTAAGAATAAGTTTTCTGGGGGGAAAAAAAAGGGAGGCAGTGAAGGATTTTCATGATCGCCTGAAAAATGCTTGGTTAAACAAAGTAAACAGGTTTCTTTACCATAGACTTTTTAGAGTATGTGAATTTCTAAGTCTCTGAGGAGACTTGAGCATACAGTGTTCTCTAAACTTCCTTGTTCAAAAAAATCCTTTTTCTCTGAAGATCTATTCATGTCATAGGATGCAAGTGATTGGGAAATACTGACATTCAGTGAGTAATGAAAAAAGGGAGCAATTACTTTGGTCAAGATCATCACAGTCCTGAGACAAATCCACAGAGAATGAAGGGACTTACGCCAGAAATTAGTGATTTGCAAAGGAGTGAAAGAAGGAAAACACATATTTATTAAGCAACCTAGGTGCCAGACACCATGAGCTATTATTGCTCTCAGTCCTCACTATACTATCACTATGAAAGGGATAACTTTCCATATAATACACATGTAATTGACACACATGCCCTTGGAACACACACATATCTGGTTCCAAACGGTATGCTCTTTCCCTTGTTTTCTGTCTCCTCACTGAATAAAGGCATGGAGGTGCGAATATGTAAGGTTCAACTGAGATGAAGAAAGGTACAGGTATGGTAGGGTTGGCTTGGGAGGTCCTTGATTGCAGGAGTCTGTTATGGGCAGAGTCAGTCTTACTGTCCTCTAAGTCCCCACTGCACCAAGCAGAAAGCAAAGCCAAAACAAGCACTCAACATGTGGTTACTGATTAACAACTGGAAGACGGGAAAGCAGATTCTAACAGGAAATATTAGAGGAACTAGGGTAATAGACAAAGCAACAGAAGGCATTTTTGCTACAACATCTCAGAGACTACTCTGATATTAAAATATATGTTTCTTTTCTAGATAAAGAATAAGAGACAATGCTAGATGAGAAACACAGGTCAAGAAAATTGTATTTCATTAGAGATAAGGAAGAACAAATACCGAAAGGAGTTGTTAGACAAGAATAGATTTCTATCTATTGAAACAGTTTAGTTATATTCCTGCCTAGTTATCTTCCAGCCTGGATGGGCTTGATACTTTAATCAATACAATTTTTAGAAAAATCAAAACCCAAGATCTGAATAGCTAATCTCTATTATACAGACCAACCTTTTCTGGATGTGGCAACACTTCAGGATTTTCAGCCTCAGTCCCTGGAAGATAACATTATATGTTTACACTCCAGTTTTATTAAAGCATTAAAACATATTATCTCACACAGCATTTCTTAATCACATACTTAAAATGACTCCCTGATTCATGTGCTATATCAAATATTCATAAATATACCAATTTATTGATATAAAAGTATTATGTTGGCAACAAAGTTACAAAATTCTTCCATTTCTTAAATAATATTTCACAGGAAGCCAGGTAAAATTATAATTATTTGGAATTTGTTTAGTTAAAAACCAACCTCTCTATTTTGGCTGAGCTATTCTAAGTATTTGCAACTACCTGAGGAAAAATCGTATCTACTTTCTCAGTGTCATTATCTTCTCCATTGTAGGTAACAGAATTTAAATGAATTCATGCTGTTAAGTTAGGCATACTAAGGGACATCATGTAGGGGCCAAGGAGTCAGGAGATTGTCCCAAACGCACATGTATTAACAGGTCTCTATTTCTTAAAGTCATTAAAAATTTTTAAACATTCTACTATAGTTCCTTTTCTTTTTGTACTGAGACTACCTTTTGTAGTCTCAATTAACATTTTGTGACTATCATTAGAAACTTATGATTTTTTTCACCAACTTAAGCTACTTCCATGAGCTAAAATCATTGTTGGATTTTTTTCTCCCAACTAATTGTGTCACAGGTTGGTCAGTGGGAACACAACTGACAAAGCCCTTTATCCTTTTAGCCCTGCTGCCAGACATCCTTGAAAGCATCTGTGCTTTCCAAAAATGGAAAGATGTTTCAAATTCATTCTAATTATCTTCAAGTCCCAAAACAGATTTGCTATCCTTTAAGGGTTCCCAGTTTATTTAGCAGTTGTATACCTAAAGCACCCATACACCTGGCACATAGCAGGCTCAATAAATATTTGTTAAAACAATGAACATATAAGTATTACATACCAAAATCTAAGCACTAGGAGTACATGCAAGAGTTGGTAATGGGCCTAAGTGGTACTCCTATTGTTATAGTAGCAGAATAGAACAGAAGTTAGAGCTTCTGTACAAAACAGAAGATAGAACTTTTAAAATGTAACTTTTCGATTTCAAGTATCATATTCTTGTGCCTTTTCTTGTAATACAAGGTTTCAATGACCACTAAGAATACTTACTACGCTATCATACAACATACACAGGAGACACTCAAAGAGAAAGACAGCCATTGATTAACATAGCTGAAGTCAAGTAAATGGTCTGTGGAAACTACCAGTCAAGAAGGATATCACATACATATTAAGAATACTATAAACAGCAGGGAGGGTTTAGCTCAGTGGTTGAGGACATGCTCGGCATGCACGAGGTCGTGAGTTCAATCCCTAGTACCTCCATTAAGTTAAAATAAATAAATAAATAAACCTAATTACCTCCCTCCTCAAAAACAAACAAAACAAGAAGAATGCTATAAGCAGAAAAAACAAACATTCCTTTCAAATTTGAGCCCCAAAATTACAAGTCAAAAGAGTAGACATTTGGTCGAGCAAGTCTTGATTGAACCTGAGTTGCTTCTCATATAAGTAAATTAATGTAGAATGATTTCATATGTAAAATGTACAGGAGACCAGCCTGGTTGTCAATAAATTCATAGCTAACTAAGCCTTCTATTTTTAGGCAAAGACAAATTTACTTTATGTGACTCTACCCATAAAAGCATACCTCGAACACTCTGGTGGTTCAGTGAAAGTTCAGCCTGGGTACATGACACAGTGAACATTGGACTACTTTTTCTAGTCCTAAACAACAACAAAAAATCAATTAATTAATTAATAAGTAAATATAAAATTTTAAATGGTAAGAAAAAACACCATTTCTCATTCATATACAATTTAAATTTTTTTCATTTAAAGGAATTTCAAATAGAGTAATTTTTCTTTGCTCTATCATTCCAGTTACTTTTACAATTACTACCAATTAGTTAACATTTACAGTTCAAGTGACTGCAAAAATGGAGAGCCGAAAAGTTAATGGATGAACTTTAGGAGTATAAACAAGCTAAATTACGTGTAGGTCTGAAAATACCTTTGGAGATGACTGGTCTACCAAACAGGGGTTAGGGTCAGAGAGAAAAATAGGTTCTAATTTACGTAGCTTGGCTATCTAAATCCTCAAATACACTGAAAGTCTGTCGTTATAGTTTGAGATGTAAGTAAAAGTCACTAGCAAGAAAATTCTCAGACATTATTCATGGTTCTTGTATTTCACAGCACGGAAAGAAAGGGTAAGAAATATTGAAGGGGAAAAGATTGAAAACAAAATAAAATGCCTCATCTAAAATTTTGATCATCTGCCCTGGGATAATTAAAAGTTGACTGAAGAAAACCGATCAGTGAACTATTTTTTTTCCCAATCTACTTTACTATACAAGTACAGTCAAGATATCTTTCTTAAGAAAAAAAAAAGCCCCATGTTTCAGCTGTTTTAAGAACAGTTTTTCTGCACCAGGCATAGCTACTTGAATCCTAAGCAAGAATAATAAACTGTACATTCTCTCCTATCTAAAAATAAAAGTGATCAATATAAGCTATCTTGAAAATTAAACTGCTCACATAGAATAATTTCTATGAGGCAAATAGAAAAGAATACCGCTTTTCCCCTCTAAAACATGATTCTTTGAGAACACAAACTGATTTAAAACAAAACAAAATCATAGTCTGAGACAACAACAGGAATTTTTTCCTCAATTATAAAAGAGAATTTAAGATACTAGTTTTGAAAATAGAGCAAACTTTCATCTAAGTTGTTAAAAATGGTTACTTAGGTAAGTAATTTGCTTTTTTTTTTTCGACACTGTCTTGTCAGGTTTTGGTATCAGGATGATGGTGGCTTCATAGAATGCGTGTGGGAGTGTTCCTTCCTCTTCAGTCGTTTGGAAGAGTTTGAGAAGGATCAGTTTAAAAGACTTTGTACGTTTGGTAGAATTCCCTAGTGAAGTCATCCAGTCCTGAACTTTTGTTTGCAGGAAGTTTTTTTTTTTACTATGGATTCTATTTCACTCCTAGTCATCTGCTCAAATAATCTATTTCTTCTTGATTCAGTTTTGGTGGATTGTGTATTTGTAGAAAATTGTCCATTTCTTCTAGGTTGCCCAATTTGCTGGCATATAATTGTTCATCATATTCTTAGGGTTTTTTTGTGGGTTTTTTTTTGTATTTCTGCAATATGAATTGTTACTTCTCTTTCATTCCTTATTTTGTTTAGAGTCCTCTCTCTTTTCTTTTTGGTGAGCCTGGCCAAAGGTTTACTGATTTTATTCACCCTTTCAAAGAACCAGCTCTTGGTTTTATTGATTTTTATTACTGTTTTCTAAATCTCTATTCTATCTCTGACCTTTATTATTTCCTTCCTTCTCCTGACTTTAGGTTTTGTTTGTTCTTCTCCTTCTAATTCTTTGAGGTGGTAAATTAGGTTGTTTATTTGAGACTTTTGTTTTTGAGGAAGGCCAGCCTGTATTGTTATTAACCTCCTTCTTAGTATTTTGCTGCATCCTATAGATTTTGTATGGTTGTGTTTTTTGCTGTCATTTGTCTCAAGGCATTTTTTAATTTCCTCTTTGATTTCATTGTTGACGTATTTTTTCAAGTTGTTTTAAGTAGCATGTTGTTTAGTCTCCATGTAATTAATTTTTTCTTGTTTGTCCTTCTGTAGTTGACTTCTAGTTTCACGCTGTTGTGGTGAGAAAAGATGCTTCAAATGCATTCTATCCCCTTAAATTTGTTGAGGCTTGTTTGTGTCCTAGTATGTGGTCAATCCTAGAATGTTTCATGTGCACTTGAAACGAATGTGTATTCTGGTTTTGTGGGGGTGGGGGGGGTAAAATGTCCTGAAAGTATCAAGTCTAACTGTTCTATTATGTCATTTAGGATCTCTGTTGCCTTATTGATTTTCTGCCTGGAAGATCTGTCCATTGATGTCAGTGGGGTGTTAAAGACTCCTATAATTATTGCATTTCTGTCAATTTTTCCTTTTATGTCTTTTAGTATTTGTTTTATGTATTCAGTGCTCCTATATTGGGTGCATATATGTTAATGAGTGTAACATCCTCTTCTCGTATTGATCCTTTTATCATTACATAGAGTCCTTTCTATCTTTCTTCATGGCTTTTGTTTTAAAGACTATTTTGTCTGACATTGAGTATTGCTACCCTCTGCCTTCTTGTCATTTCCATTTGCATGAAATATCTTTTTCCATCCTCTCATTTTTATTTTATTTTTTTCATCTCTTCACTTTTAATCTATGTGTGTCCTTTCCCCTAGAGTGGGTCTCTTGTAGGCAACCTATTGTAGGCTCTTGTTTTATTATCTAATCTGCCATTCTATGTCTTTTGTGATTGGAGTATTTAATCCATTGATATTTAAGGTAGTTACTGATAAGCATGTATCTGTTGCCATTTTAAACCTTGTTTTCCAGTTGATTTTGTATTTCTTCTTTGTTCCTTTCTTTTTCTTTTTGTTTTTCCTTTTGTGATTTGATGGTTTGCGTTTGTATTATGCTCATGTTCTCTTCTTTTTTGTTTTTGTGACTCTAGTGCATGTTTTTGATTTCTGGTTATCCTGTTTTTCAAGTATGTTAACCCATTACTATACGTACTTATTTTAGACTGGTAGTCATATAGGTCCAAACACATTCTAAAAAAAAAAAATGTACGTTTTCTTACTCTCCTCCCCCACATTTGATGATTTTGATGTCTTCTTTTACAACTTTATGTTTATCCTTTTGCTGTTCATTGTAGTTATCATTGCTTTCACAGAAATTTTTAAATTTTTTAAAAAATCTGTGGGCTGGCTTATTTCAGTGATTTACTTTCCAACTGTGATTTTCTCCTTCCTCTAGATTTTTGCTGGTTTTCTATTTGGACAAGACCTTTCAATATTTCTTTTAGGCTAGGTTTAGTATTCCTGTATTATTTTAGTTTTTGCTTGTCTGAGAAATCTTTTATCTCTCCTTCTATCCTAAATGATAATCTTGCTGGGTAGAATATCTTAGGTTGCAGATTTTTCCTTTTCAGGACTTTGAATATATTTTGCCACTTCCTTCTGGCCTGTAACGTTTCTGTACAGAAATCAGCTAACAGCCTTATGGGGGTTCCCTTGCAATTAGCTCTTTCTCTCTTGCTGTCTTTAGACTCCTCTCTTTATCTTAATTTGTGCCATTTTAATTATAATAAGTCTTGGTGTAGTTCTGTTTGGCTTCATCTTCTTTGGGACCCTCTGTGCTTCCTGTACCTGGATATCTGTTGCCTTTTTTAGGTTTGGGGAGGTTTCAGCCATAATTTCTTCAAATACATTTTTGATCCCCTTTTCTCTTTCTTCTCCTTCTGGGATCCCTGTTATGTGTAGATTGGGGTGCTTTGTATTATCCCATAGGTATGGTATATTTCTTTTTCTTTGATCTTTCTTTCTGATTGGGTGATTTTCATTATTCTATTTTTCAGATCATTTATTCACTCTTCTGCATTATCCAGTTTGTTATTTATTGCCTCTAGCTCAGCTTTTGTCTCAGCAAGTGAGTTTTCTAATTTTAATTGGGTCCTCTTTATTATTTCTAGTTTCTTTATACAATGATCTGCCTTTCTATCAATAGCCTTTCTTAATTCCTTCAGTATTTTTATTACCTCCTTTCTGAATTCAGAGTCTAGTGGACTGGAGAAGTCTGTTTCACTGTTTGTTCTTTCAGGGGAATTTTCTTGACCTGCTTCTTCATTTTACTTTTATTTCTTTGACAGTATGAATTTAGGAGAAACTGTTATCTACTGTGGTCTTGAAGGGTTGTTATATGTGGGAGTGTCCCTGTATAGCCAGCATGAGTCTAATATTTTTGGTGCAAGGGTTGTTAGTATGCTAGCGTGTGTCTAACATTTTTGGTGCAAGGGTTGTTAGTATGGATGCCTGTCATGTCTTTCCTTATGGATAAATTCCTTTGATGAACATAGATGCAAAAATTCTCAACAAAATATTAGCCAACCAAATCCAACAACACATAAAAAAGATCACACAGCATCATCCAGTTGGATTCATCCAAGGGTCACAAGAATGGTTGAACATACATAAATCAATCAATGTGATACACATCAACAAAAGAAAAGACAAAATCCACATGATCATCTCAATAGATGCATAAAATGTGTCTGATAAAATTCAATATTCATTTATAATTAAAAAACTCTCACAAAAGTGAGTGCAGAGAGAACATATCTCGACATAGTAAAAGCTATTTATGACAAACACACAGCCAACATAACACTTAATGGTGAAAAACTGAAAACCTTCCCACTAAAATCTGGAACAAGACAGGATGCCCACTCTCACCACCTGTATTCAATATAGTATGGGAAGTCCTAGCCATAGCAATTAGACAAGAAAAAGAAATAAAAGGTATCCAAATTGGAAGGAAAGAGGTAAAATTGTCAACTATATGCAGATGACATGGTATTATATATAGAAAACCCTAAAGACTCCACACAAAAACTACTAGAACTGATAAACAAATTCAGCAAAATAGCAGGATACAAGATTAACATACAGAAATCTGTTGCATTTTTTTTTACACTAACAATGAAATATCAGAGAGGGACAGTAAAAAAAAAAAATCCCTTTTAAAATTGCATACAAAAAAAAAAAAAACCTAGGAATAAACCTGACCAAGGAGGTGAAAGACTTATAGCCTGAGAACTATAAAACACTGGTAAAGGAAACTGAAGATGATTCAAAGAAATGGGAAGATATACTAGGCAGGACTGAAAGCAACATACATGTACAGAGGAATGATTAATTGAATTACAGTACTGTAAGTTAAGTAAGTGAAATAGCAAGAGGCCATTAAAATTCACGCTTTTAAAAAATATTAATGATGTGAGAAATTTAGCATAAACTACTACTTATAATTTAAAACCAGGAAACAAAACTATCCAAAGCATAATCCAAATTTTGTAGAAAATATAAACAAAACAAAAAATATAGAAAGTCTAAAATAAAATGTACCAAAATGTTAACAACAGTTCTCTCTAGGCAGTGAGATTACAGATGATGTATGAGTCTTTCTTAGTCTTGTCTTTTTTCCCCCTTCTGTAGATGCACTTACATTACTGATACAGTCAGTAAAAGGGTTATTATAAAATAGTGGTTCTCAAACTTTTTGATCTTTGGACTCTTTTAAACTCTTAAAAATTAGTAAGGAACCCAAAAAGCTTTTGTTCATGTGTCTCATATTTATTTGTATTTACATATTACTAATTAAAGTGGAGAAAAACATTAAATAAGCATTAATTTTAAATTAACATGTTAAAATATTTTTATGAAAAACTGTATTTTCCAAAGTAGAAAAAATTAATGAGAAAATGGCACTGTTTCACATTTTAAAAAATCTCTTTAATGTATGGCTTAATGAAGACAGCTGCCATCTGAGCTGCAACTGCATTCAATCTTTTGCCATATTTTTTTGAAGTTATAACAAAATCTGGGCTCACAAAGATACGCAGTTGGAAATAGAAGGATTATTTTAGTGCATATTCTGAGTAACAGTGCACATTCTTTTTAGATAATATCAAAACTCTAAAAGCAAACTTCCCTAAAGGTTAATGGACATGTAAAAATTGAAACAAAATCAATGAACTTCTTGTATTCTTTTACATTATAACCCATTGGTTTATCTTGCATTTTAAATGGAACCTTTATTTGTCAGTGGGTGGTGTTGTGATGTCATGCATTGGTCTTTTAGAAAATACTGATTCACTGAGTTATGCAGATCTTCCCTATACTAATCCATGTCATTATAAAATCTCAAAAAGGTCACTTTTGTAAATATTTCCACTGACCTCACTAGAAAGTTTTAAGTATTGAAATGTCATCAAGGTCAAAATGGTAGACACAAGCTTTCCTGAACTCTAATTTTCACTTGAAAGCTTAAATTTTTTTATTGGCAGCAAATACCATCAGTTGTTTTCCTTGAAGTGACTGGCTTACTTCATTCAATTTCAAGAAAATGTCTGCCATGTGTGTCTATGTGTGAATATCCAGTTTGTCTATCAGTTAACCTTTCTAATTAAAAAAGAGTGAAACTAGTTTTCTTACAACGTTTATAACTCAAACAAGTACACAAGTGATCTTCTTAAGACAACTATTACACTTCACACAAAAGGTTAAAAAGATATATATTCAAGGGTAGAAATTTACTAACAACTTTTCTGCTTCATCAAATGCATTAAGTAAAAATGGCTTTTTTTCTTTTTTAACTACTAGTACATGGCAGTGAAAAACACAATGACTACTAGTACTATTTTAGTGTCACTGCCCTGATGCCTACTAAGGCTCCAGCATTTTATCTACCACTTGTTTTAGCACCATAAGCACAAACATCAAATAGGCAAATAATGTGTATTATTATTTAGTTTTGCCCTCACTAACCCTCTGTGAAGAGTCTCAGGGACTCCCAGGGGGACCACAGACCATAATTTGAAAACCATTGTTTAAAAAAAAAACTGAAGGAATATTAAAGTATAATAGTTGTATTAAGTCTAATTTCAATAAGCTCTGCAAATTCTTACGTTATGCTTTTTAAATAATATTAATAGTCAAAGAATCAACTTAATCTGATTTAATCTTTCTCATGAAATGAAACTTATCTATAATGTCTGTAAAATACCATATATTTATGCTGCTAAAGAGACAATTATTCAAAAAATACAATAACTCTAAAACTCTTAAGATTCATTTTGTATGTGTAAAATTACAAAAAACTACAACATAATAATGCCAAAACCACCATACTTACTGTAACAGAGCTTGATTTTGTTCCATTTCATCTTGAGGTTGCTAGAAAGAAAAAAAACAGTAGTTTTTCCCAATTGATGAATGCTAAGCTAATACAACAAGGTAAAAACAATATTTAAGATAATTTTTACATTATTCTTAGTATCTTTTTTATTGTGGTAAAATATATATAACATAAAATTTACCATTTTGACTATTTTTAAACATGCAGTTCTGTGGCATCATGTACATTCCTATTGATGAACAACCATCACCAACATCCATTTCCAGAACTTTTCCATTTTCCCCAACTAAAACTCCATACCTATTAAACACTAGCTCCCCATTTACCCCTTTCCCAACTCCTGGCATCCATACTTCTACTTTGTCTATGTATTTGACTATATTAAGTGCCTCATGTAAAAGGAATCATACAGTATTTGTCCTTTTATGATTGGCTTATCTCACTTAGTATAATGTCATCAAGGTTCACCCATATTGTAGCATGTATCAGTATTACTTTCCTTTCTCAGGCTGAATAATATTCCATTGTATATGTAAGTACTGCATTTTATTCATCTACTCATCTGTCAATGCACACTTGGGTTGCTTACACCTTTTGACTATTGTTGATAATGTTTCTGTGAGTGTGGGTGAATAAATACATTTTCAAGTCCCTGCCTTCACTTATTTTGGGTATACACCCAGAAGTGGAATTTCTGCATCATATGGTAATTCTATGTTTAATCTTTTTAGGAATCACCGTACCATCTTCCACAGCTGCTGCACTATTCTCCATTTCCTACCAGCAATGATCGAGAATTCTAATTTTTCTACATTCTCACCAACGTTTGCTACATTGTTTTAGTAATAGCCATCCTAATGAGTGTTAGATGGTATCTCACTGTGGTTTTGATGTGCATTAATGATGCTGAATATCTTTTCACGTGCTTATTAGCACTTGTATATATTCTTTATTGAAATGTTTATGCATGTCCTTTGCCCAGTTTTAAATCAGGTTGCTTCTGTTGTTGTTCAGTTATAGGATGGACCTGGAGATTGTCATTGTAAGTAAAGTAAGCCAGAAAGAGAAAGAAAAATACCATATGATATCACTCATATGTGGAATCTAAAAAAAACAAACAAACAAACAAAAAAAACTTATTTACAAAACAGAAACAGACTCACAGACATAGAAAACAAACTTATGGTTACCAGATGGGGAAGGAGGTGGGAAGGGATAAACTGGGAGTTCAAGATTTGCAGATGCTAACTACTATATATAAAATAGATAAACAATAAGTTTATACAATATAGCATAGGGAACTATACTCAATATCTTGTGGTAACCTATAATGAAAATGAACATATGTACATATAGGTATGACTGAAACATTATGCTGTACACCAGATACTGACACATTATAAACTGACTATACTGCAATTAAAAAAAATTTTCTGTAAGTAAAAAAAAAGAAGTTGCAAAACTGAGTTTTAAACAAATTATTAGAAGCTAAATACAAGCTTCTCAGCTTTAAGAAAAAATAGGTGGTGTTGAGTATTTCCCTTTTGATTAGAGATCATTCAACTGATATACACTCCTATATACAATATTAGATATACCCTCATGTTCACTCTTCGAAACTGTTGTCTATTTCTGCTATTAAAATATATGTATCTCCCCCTCCACTTCTTAAGACTCTGTAGTTATCTCCTGTTAGCTAACTTATTTACACCAAGATGTTAATTGAATCATCCCTTACCTTTCCCCAGGGTAACTGCATTAAAAAGAAACAAACAAATGAAAATTTGCATATATAAGTGTGTATCCACACACATGCACTCACACACACACACGCCAAAAGTCTCTTTCAGTAGCCCATATTTCAAATTACACCACACAAACTAGTATCTTCTTCACAAATTTAAGATGACCTCTGACATATAATGGAGATGAAAATCACAATTATTATATCCTCTTTTAACCTTCTCACTTCCACAGCTCTAGTAGAAAGAGAGATGAAGAAAGGAAATATTTTAAGCCTTCCTTCCTAAATCAACTGGCTTTCACCAAAGTTGCAGCAAAGAAACAGAATGACTGTCTAAGGGAAAAAACTGACTAAGAGAAAAAAGAAGCAAAACAATAGACAAAAAGAAATATTCATTAGTAATTTTCCTCTCTTTGAAATAGTTAAATAATTTGAAATAGTTAATATTAAAAAACAGCAATTTTAATAAGCAGGTATTTAATCAATATGCTACACACCTGTAAGGCTGCATCCTCACTAAGAAGAGGCATCATCTTATTTTCACTCATTTGCTCTTGTGAATTCCCTCCGAGTTTGAATATAAGCTGAATCTCTGGAGAATGTGTGCCTAGAAGGAAATATAATCATAATAATCATATAATATAATCACATAATCATTCGCAATAGTTTTATTGCTCTGCTTTAACGACACAAGGATTTTATAGACACTGCAAAATGCCATTAAAAATCATTTTGTAAGTCATAATTTCCTGACTGCCACTTTTATGTGTCAAAGTTTTTAAATTTAAAAAGAAACATATACACTACACTGAATAAAATAATACTTGATATTTCTTTGCCTCAGGATGAATGAATGCAAAGGATATGTAAAGACAATTGTACAGACTTAAACCCTGCTAGAAAGAATACTTTTTTCTTTTTTTATTTCATTTTAAGTCATTTTTAAAAACTCATTATGCTAACATATCACCCAAGAAGAATCAGATTTTCTGTTTCCAAGATAGCAAATTTGGCCCATATTTTGACTTTTCTTCCCTTCTCAGTTCCTAAAAAGAATCCAAAGAAATGATTAGTTTAAAAAAAAAAAACAGAAGCAGCAATAGGAAAAAGGAACCATACTCACTATAGATTAGAAGGTAAGAACGGATTAAAGGGAAACCAAACATTGGTAAACAAGTTTGTCACTCATCACAGGAAAAGGGGGGGGGCTCCTTTAGATGTAACTAGTATATGGATTTCTTCCATCAGAATCCCAGAAAACCACCCAGCTCAGAGCAAATGCTACCAACAAAATATGAAAGAAGGTAAACTGGAAGCTCACAGTGGCTGAAGTCTCACACCTCACTGAGCTTGCTGCTTGTACCAAAGAAGCTTAGGATGTATGCTGTAGTCAACTACTCTGTGTAGGATAAGAAGTTCCCTATCAGATAAGGAAATGTACTAAAAGCTAAGGTTTATAAAATAATGTAGTGATGGCACAAAAGTAGAAATAGTCAAACAGGTCAATGAAATGAAACAAAAGGTGGGAAACAGACCTATATTATATCTGGGAATTTAAAATATATCAAAAATGGTATTTTGGTTGCCGGTGGTAGGGGGAGGGACAGACTGGGAGTTCGAAATTTGTAGATACTGACAGGCATATGTAGAAAGATAAAACAAGATTATACCATATGGCACAGGGAAATATATACAAGATCTTGTGGTAGCTCACAGTGAAAAAGAAAGTGACAATGAATATATGCATCTTCATGTGTAACTGAAAAATTGTGCTCTATTCTGGAAATTGACACAACATTGTAAACTGATTATAACTCAATAAAAAAAAGGAAAAAATGGTATTTTAAACAGTGGCAACAAAATGACTTTTCAGTAAATAATATTGGGGCTATAAGTTAACCATTTGAAAAAATGAAGTTAGAGACCTACCTTCCCTCCCATATGCTAAATTAATTCAAAAATATTAAAAACATAAAAGTAAAAACTGTAAATATAATAAATGGAAATAAAGATAAAAGAAAATATTTGTATAGTCTTGAGATAGGTAAAATACTTCTAAGTTTGAAAAAAGCAAGAAACTCTAAAAGAAAAGACTGACAGATTTTACTATATAAAAACTTAAAATTTCTGCACAACAAAATGTATCATAAATAACATTAAAAGATAAGTAGAGAACTGGGTAAAACAACATATATATGACGAAGTTTTGCTACCTTTAATATCTGAAATGTTCTGAGAAGTCAATAATAAAATGAGAATAATGAAGAGGCAATAAGGCAACACACAGACACACACACAAAAACTGAATAGTCAACATTATAATACGCCTAACCTTGGTACCCTTCAGAAATACAAGGACATACTCAGTCTTCACCAGTTTGGCAAAGATTGAATATGTCCTGTGTGGTATCTAAGAGGGAAAAAGTCACCTTTTTTTTAGGGGGCAAGATTTGATATGTGTTCATCCTTTAAAACAAATCTAATTTAACTAGTTATTCTAAGGAAGTAATCAGAAAAGTAGGCAAAGGTATAGTATTGAAAAATATCAAACATGTAATCAAAATCATTATATAAAGTACACTCGTACAACGGAATAATATGCAGCAATTTAACAGGTTGAGGTAGATCAACATAACAAGGAAAAACATGTAGTATAATATTAATCATGAAAAAGATATTTATATTAGATCTACAAATCTAATTACAAAATATTATACTACAAAATATTACAATTATAAAATACTACAAAATTATAAAATTACAAAATATTACAAAAACATATTTATGGGGGGAGGGTATAGCTCAAGTGGTAGAGCACATGCTTAGCATGCACAAGGTTCTGGTTTCAATCCCCAGGACCTCCTCTAAAAAAATAAATAAATGAATGAATAAACCTAATTATCCCACCCCCACAAAATTAAATATATGAAAATAATATATATATTTATATTGGTATACAAAAATCTAGAAAGATATACGAATACTAAACATTAAACATTGGCATATAGAATTACAGGGAAAAGTAGGGGATGGAATCTTTCACTTTCTATATTACATAACTTTGTATGTTAAAAATATTTCATACTTTTAATACTTGGCAAAAATAATTAATGTCTATCCATTTGGAAGAGGAAAGGAAAGGAAAGGGGGAAAAAACTTGGTTGGAATATTAAAACAGATCTCTAACTTTTAGCTGCATTTTATACACCATAAGAACACATTCTGGAGACCAATATTACACACTGTCCCTTCCAACTACACACAGGAAAAACTATTCTATGATGAAACTAACTTGCCATTGAGGTATCAGGTGAGATGATGTACGTTGAAGAGTTTGTGAACTACAGTTGACCACTGAATAACAGGGGTTTGAACTATGCAGGTCCACTTAAATGAGGATTTCTTCCTAAAGACAATACATCCAGCCCTCCACATCCTTGGGTTCTGCATCAAGATGCCACCAACCACTGATCAGATTGTGTACTGTGTTTATAATCCATGGCTCATGTAACTCATGGATGTGGGATCTGCGGATGGGAAGGGCCAACCATGAAACTTGAGAATCTGAGGATTTTGGTATACTTGAGGGCCCCTGGAACCAACCCCTTGTGGATACCCAGGGACAACTGTATACATACAAGAAGATTCTCATGATGTTTAGGAGATTTTCCTTCTAATGTACACCTATTTCGAGACATCCTCTGAAGTAAAATATGGCCCACAAGAAGAAATCATAAAAGGAAATAACCTACTATTTGAACAGCTACTGCAGAACTGATCTTTTTTAACCGTGACAATCAGTGATATATTTTTCTAAAAGTGTTTAAATTGATCTAGAAGTAGACTCAGGAGGTATGGTGAATTTGTAGGTGAAAGGCTCTTTTTAAAAATATATACCAAGGATATTTGTATCTTAATTTTAGTCTGAAAAAAATCAGACTGTTTATTTAAAACTACTATTTACTTACACAAATAGTCAAGTTCTAGGGTTAAGCTGGAGATTTGGGGGGTGGCGGAAGAAGAGCTATTTGAGTGCCACTTTCACTTCTCTGTAGCCCTCTCTAGGAGTCATAAATATCTTCCAGAAGTTACACTCCCCCTTGCTATCCTTACAGTAATAGATCTCAGGATCTACTACAGATGCCTGTAAGAAACTAACTGTGAAAGTTACAGAAAAAAACTAAATGTAAAAGGAGAAGTTAATGGAATAATAATACTTAGAAAATTAAAGGGACAACTTAGTGAAAAGAATTATCTCTCACCTTTGCATGTTCCACTTATTCCAGGATGGAGACTGAACTCACCTCTAAGAGATGTGTCTTGATCAAACAGCAACCTTTCAAACACCAAAAAAAAAGGTACAGATGTTATAATGTTTTCTAAACAAAGACTAACAATTTAACTGTCAGTTTTTAATTATACCTAAATTTTGCTAAAAGTCTTAGTTACACCACTATTAGTATTTCTACATCAAAGTATTTTTTTCAGAAATGTAGCCTTTAATTTAAAACTTATCCAAGATGAAAAATAAAAACTTATTCATGCGGTCATGTTCATTTTTACAAATATTCTGTTATTTGGGGGCATTTGGGAGTAAGGGACAAATATGACTGATGTCCATAAAAGAAGAGAGAGAGAGAGACACCAGGAATGCATGCACACAGAGGAAAGACCATATGAGGACACGGCAGGAAGGTGGCCACCTGCAAGCCAAGGAGAGCCCTCAGGAGAAAGCAACCCTGCCAGCACCTTGATCTTCGACATCCAGCCTCCAGAACTGTGAGAAAATTAATTTCTGTTGGTTAAACCACCCAGTCTGTGGTATTTTTGTGACAGCCTAAGCAAACTGCTACATCACTAGTCTTTCCTAACTTCCCAGGACAAGAAATTCCAGGCTCAGCTTAGCACATCTCCTGCTTTAGAACTGGAACTCATCATTTCTCATGGAGCCTTGGTTCCTTTGAATAGGATATCACATTGGAAGTCCACAATACTAATATTATCATTAACTATGTGATTACTGAAAAAATGTTATTTTGCAATTCCTTATGTCCTTAGAATATATCACATGTGGCATGTTTAGCTAAATTCTGTTTTAAAGGCACTTAAAATAATTCCTTTTTGTACAAGTATGCTATAATCAATACATAACTAAGTTCACTTGTTTCATCTTGCTTTTTGCTTTTTAAGAATTTTTTTCATGTTAATTTATTATGTTTTATAATTATGTAAACCATTTACATCATTGTTGGTAGGATGTTTGGGGTTTTTCTTAATGGTACACCATTTGTCATTCCAAAGACAAATGTACAAACCAAGGTCTATTTAGAGAGGTCTAGCATTCATCCCTGTCCCTTCGTCCACCTGTCCTCTCCCTTCCCGTTTTTAAAAATTGTATGGTTTATCCTTCCAATGTGTTTCTGGAAAGACAAACAATACATGTGTGTGTCCTCACCTCTTCTTAGATAAGCAGTGGCATTCTACACATGCTTCCCTACTTTCTTTTTTACTCAATACATCCAGTAGACTGATTACAGGATAAAGAAAGTCCTCATTCCTTTTTTATAAATTCATAGTACACCATTGTGTAGATTCTTAATGATTTTAATAGCTTATTAAAAGATGACTGTGGAAGTAAGAAAAAAAAATCTTTTAGTTAAAAATTTACAGAACTGTCTCATGTTTCCCATTCCTAATCACAAACACACATCACATACATAAATTCACATACATTATGAAGAAAGAACAGCTTACCAAAGAAAAATTAAAGTACCATTAAGAAAAACCCCAAACATCATACCAACAAAATTAACAATGAAAAGGACTCCAGTCCTTAATCTTCCTAGCACATCCACTGTGAGAGTAAATACAAGTTCCTTCTGTGAGGAGAATAAGTATCTTTTTTTGTCTCAATTACTACTGGCCATTACTAAGGATTGAAAATTCATTATTCAAATATGGATAATACCATTACTGTAGTGCACTTTTCCAAGTAAAACAATCTATATATCTTATGGTCCCTAAATATCAGGGTTATTTTACTTCTTAAAAATTTTGAGTTTTTTTTTTAATCTAAAGATAACACAAAAGGGGCATGGAGGAATTTTGGAAGGTAACGGGGTTGTTCTATATCTTCACCATGATAATGGTTATTATAAATTGTATGAATTTGTCGAAACTCACAGAACTGCACAGTAAAAAGAGTAAATTTTGCTGTATGTAAAGTCTATCTAATAAAAAATTTTTTAAAGTAGCACAAATACATTAATTTTCCATAAGTAAATTAACAGATTTAACATTATACCAATAAAAGTATCAACAAGATTTTGCTGAATTAGACAACTGATTCTAAAATTCCTGTAAAATAAATAAGAACAGCCAGGAAAAAATGTTAAATAAGAAAAATAAGGCAGTAATGACCTACAAAACATTAAAATATTTTTGGATACAAAGTGTTTTTAATATGAAACTGACATAAGATGACAGAACAATAAACAGAATAACCCTCCCCCCACAAATAAACTCACATAGATATGGGAATTTAGTATATTTAAAAGGTGATATCTCAAATCAGTGAGGAAAAGATACAATTCTTCAAAAAATTATACTAGGACAATGAAGGAGACATCAGGAAATAACTTAGTTGGGTCCATATTTCACACAGTACTCCAGAAAAAAAATCCACATGAATCAAAGATGTAAATGTTATAAACAAAGCAAAAAGTACTAACAGAAACCAAGGAGGGATTCTCTAATAATTGTAAAGGAAAGAAGGCCTTTCTAATTATGATACAAAACCCAATAATTCAATTATTAAGATTACAAACACACATACTCTTTGACATAGTGCTTCCATTTTTAGAAAATAATTTCATATATGTTCTCAAACTTATGAATACTTAGAGAATATTTCTCAAAGGATAAGATCAAATATATTGGTTGCCTATAGGAAAGAAAACAGCGTGGCTGAGGGAGCAGAGATGATAAGGCTTTTTACTACATATTCTTTAATACTTAAAAAAATTTTGGACTATGTAAATACATTATCACTTCAAAAGAACTGTAGAAAATGTGGGCAATAAAGGAAAGTACAAATAAGAAGACAGAAATCTCCTGTAATTTTACTTGTATTAGGGCTTTGGTGGCATTATTTACAATAGCCAAGACATGGAAGCAATCTAAATATCCATCAATGAATGAATGGATAAAGAAGATGTGGTATACATATATACAATGGAAAGTTCAGCAACGAAAAAGAAGGGAATCTTGCCATTTACAACAACATGGATGGACATGAGTGCAATTTACCAACTGAAATAAGTCAGACAGAGAAAGACAAATACCATGTGATATCACTTATATGTGAAATCTTAAAAACATACAAACAAATAAAAAAGCAAACTTACAGAGAATAGATTGGTGGTTTCAGGGCAGGGAGGGTTGTGGGAGGGGCAAAATGGGTAAATGAGGGTCAAAAGGTACAAACTTCCATTTATAAAATACATAAGCCTTAGGGATGTAATGTACAGCATGAAGATTATATTAATAATACTGTATTATATTTTTTAACATTGCTAAGAGAATAGATCTGAAAAGTCCTCATCACAAGAAAAAAATAACTATGTATGATAATGGATGTTAACTAATTATAGTGACAATTTCACAATATATACAAATAACAAATCATTATTTTGTACACCTGAAACTAATATAATGATACATGTCAATTATATCTCACTGAAAATCAAACAAAAAACAAACAAAAAGACTTTGGTGTATTTCCCTCCAGCTTTCTTTCCATGGAGGCTTATGTATGATGGAACCAGAAATTCTTTTATAAAGTTTGCATCAGTCTGTATAAAGTTTCATGGACTACATTTTTTACTTAACTTTATGTTTAAACATTTGCAATGTCACTAAAATTCTTCCTGAAACCATCAAACATTGATAATACTCTATCATAAGAATAAATCATAATTTATTTAAGCATTATATGTTTTAAAACATATAGGTTATTTCTAATTTTCTATTACTACAAATAGCTGAGATAATTACATAAATCTTTAGTCATTTTTTTTTCACTTTTTCCTTAAGAGAGGGGTGATGGCTATTTTTAATACTAAAAGAAAAATGAAGCAGTGGAGATCAGAAAAATTACTTATCCATGTTCAACCAACAAATTGACTGAAAATAAAACATTAATATCTCAGTGGGTTCTTAGCCAAACTATTAAACTAATACTCCAAAAGTCACCAACTACTTCATATGGATAGCGTATTTTAACAATAAAATGTGTCACTGAAATATTAGAAAGATGAGACGCTAGAAGGTATTAACTATATAAGAGGGAGGGGGAAATTAGATGGTTGGGTTGAAAGGAAAAATTTCAGGCAAACATCTGATTGAAATTTTGAAATAATTTTTATTGCTTTGTTAAAATACAATGAAATTTTTCATGACAATTAGGGTGTTATGTTATCAAATTTTTTACAATATCATGCTAAGGTGTTGGTTTATTAAAAAATCTAGTTAAAATATCCTTTCAGTGTAACACTTTTAAAAATAGTACTTGGCACCATTCTGTTTTAATTACTGGAGTAGCTAATATTTTGACATACATCCTGACCAAAAATGTTGCTTTCTTTAGCTAATTTAATGTGATTATTAATTCTTTGGCTATTTTTCCCTTCCCCAAGTGTATCCTTTGTAACAGATATTTTCTAGCTAGACAACTCACATGAAGATAGTGCTAGCCTGTCTTAAGGGATAGAATTAACACCCATCTGGCAGGGTATTATGTTCAATTAGCCTTTTACTATATGCAATTAATAATGTTCAGAGGACATGATTTGACCTGAACATATACCTAAATCCATGCAACAATGAACTATCTTATAAGGTGGTTCTGTTTAAATGTACTGAATAGCATTAGTCTGAGCCATACCCCTTAATATTATTGAGCAGTTAATATTTACCAGAGGCTGAGACAGAAAATAAGGATTGATAAAATGTTCCCAGGGTACGTGAAAGAAAAAGGAATCCTGCCTTGCAGTAAACAAATCATAAGAAAACAAGACCTTATTAGTCAGCAACTTGAATTCTTCCAGAAGGTTAGTAGCAGCACCTAGCAAGTCAAAAAAAGGACAGGATGCATTTTATAGTTTCAAGAAGAAGGGCTAGGACCAAGTCCAGACTCTCAAAGAGTACTTTTCAGACACAGTTAACAAGTGGCATCCTCACTTTTTTACTTGCTTTATCTAATCCTAATGAGCATCAAACCCTTTCTCAGAGCTTAGCAAACAGGCCTTAATAGCTGCAAATATTTTAGGATTATTTAACTATGCGAAACTGTATGTTTTGCCTGTTGGGGATCTCTGAGCTACTAGGACCTGTGCTCCTCCTGCCAGTCAAAGTTGGGAGCTTGTGCATGAAAAACAGCCAGAATAAACTGCATACAAGTAAGTAAAGAGGAAAGGGGAAAAAAAAAAAGCAATGGCACTCAGCTCCAGCAGTGCTTACATTCTGTATTTCCATTCCTAATTTTTAACCTTGGGCTATGAGCTCTGAAAGAATGATGTTTCTATGCAATTCCAGAGAAGCATTATAAAATGAATCAGAGCGGAACAAAAAAAGATTGGCCAGCCAAGATGGAGTAGGCCATGTATAGCCTAGTTCTCCACTCATTACAACTAAAAACTCCAGTAGAATATTTTTTAAAAGCTACCCAATTAATCTGAAAAGTAAACAATAGCAGGTAAACTGGGGACTGAAGTCTAAATCTAAATAATAACCTTGTAGTAGGTGAGTTTCACAGTTTGGGGTTTTTTTGTTTTGTTTTTTGGTCTTTTTTTTTTCTTTTTTTTTTTTTTGTCTCCAGCTTTGATCCTAGGCCTAAACCTGGAACTGCACAGTGGGCAGAGATAGCAAAAACTCCAGAAGAACCCTTCTATCTTTATCCAGAAGACTAGACAAAGGGGACCCTGAATGGCAAAAGGTATGGGGGAATCCTTGGGTTTTCTTTTGTATGTTTTCTCTCTTTAGCCTCAGAGCCATACGGCTACCAACCATGGCAGCTTAGGCACTTAAAACTCAAGAGAAAAACCTGTCTCTCTCCTACTAGAAAAACCGTACTCCAAAGACTATGGAAAGAATCTCTTTTATTTTCTTCTCTCTCTTAACACCCTGAAGGTGGCCCCAGCTGCAGGGAACTGCTCTACAGGGAGAAGGCTAACACTGAAAGAAGTCTATCTTTCTGATCATATGAACCAACATGTGCATATGGAGAGGGAAGGGTGCATGAGAATCCTCAAGAAAAGAGAGCAGGATGGGGAAAAACCTAATTCTGCATCTGTTCCAACGTAAGTCTCAGGTTCAAGCCAGAGCTGCCCACGTACAGAGAAGAAGCTTAACAAAGGCTTAGAGAACTATGATATTAACTACTATTCAAATTCCAGTTTCACCCCTGATGGTAGATGAGTCAGACAGACTCAAACAGCACAGTAAAGGCTTGAAAATCGGACTGATGTAACCACTGCCTACAGAATGCAAAACAGAACGTGCAGCCAGAACCTAATCAGATTGACTGTCATTCAAAACAAACAAAAATCACCACCCTAGAGGATTTTAACAGGAACAAGAGTCCAAAACATAACATTCAAAATATACAGGATCTAATCCAGAATTACCCAACATGCAGAAGAATACGAAAATCTGACTAATTCTTGAGAGAAAAGATAATAGATGTCAATATCCCAGCCCCACAAGCCCAGTCAGAATTAACCAAAGACTAAAGCAGCTAATATAATCATTCTCTATGAGATAAAGGTGAACAGTCATCAAATGGATGAAAATGTTGAAATTCTCAGCAGAGACATAAAAACTATGTAAGAGAATCTGATGGAAATTTTAGGAGCTATAATATCTGAAATTTAAAATTCACTGAATGGTCCCAACAACAGAATGGAAATGACATAGAGAAGAGTAAGTGAATCTGAAGACAGAGCAGAGCAAGAGAAATTATACAGTCTGAAGAACTGAGAGAGAAAACACTGAAAAAAATTAACAGAACCTCAAGGATCTAGGAGACTATCGAAAGGTCTACCATTCAGGTCATTTAAAATCCCAGAAAGAGATGAGAAAAAGATTGGTACAGAAAAACTACACGAAGAAATCATGACAAAAAAAATATCTCAAGTTTGGTGAAAGACATTAATTTATAAATTTGAGAAAGCCTGTGAATCCCAAACAGGATAAACACAGAGAAAAGCATGCCCAGACACATCAGAATCAAATGGCAGAAAACTGAAGATAGGGAGAAAAAAATGAAAGCAGAGAGGAAAAAAAGATGATACGTTATACAGAAGGGAACAGTGATTTAAATGGGGAAGGAGGAGCTTGACTACAAAGGGGCAGGGCAGGACAAGGGAGGTTTTCTGGAGTCGACAGAACTGTTCTGGATCTTTAGGGTGGTGGTGGTTATAAGACTAGATGTACTAGTTAGTCATAATGCTCCCTGTACACCACTAAGAGCAAATATTACTGTTTGTATATATAAATGAGCCAGAAATCTGGATATCACCCTTTATCGCTGCCCCTCCCTCATCCTCCCAGTCTAATCAATCACTGTCTCCTGCCTAATTTACTTCCTAAAGATTTCTCAGATTTGTCCCTTTCCCGCTATTCCCACTGTTCCTGTCTAGCTGAGCTCTCATCATCCCAGGCTGTAACTACTTTGATCCCACAGCTAACCTCTTTGCTTTGCAAAAGCTAATCCCTGCTCTAACAGTACCAACTTTAACGTGGACGCTTGTTAGAAATGCAGAATCCTGGACCCCCACCCTAGAACTCCTGAATTGGAATCCACCTTTTAACAAGATTCTGAGGTGATTTATAAGAAATTTATAACTTTTATGAAAATTTGAAAAGCCCTAGTCTAGGGCATGCGTGAGTGAATAAAAATCTGACAGTGCTGCTCCCCCACTTAATCCCTTACAACCTCCCTACCAGGACACGTGAGGGATACGAGGCCTTACATGATGTTACCCCACCTACCTCTCCGCTCATCTCTCACCACACCCATCTCAGCACTGAACACTTCAGTAATACTCAACTGTAGATTCCAACACACAGAACACAATGCTAAGCGCCACCACCCCACACCTTTACCTATGCAGTTCCCTTGGCCTGAAAACCTCCTCTCCTTCATCTAATTCCTAACCCACCTTCAAGCCTCTATTCAGAAGTCAACCCTAGCAAACTATGATGACCACCTAGGCTGAGGTAAGCGTCCCTCTGGGCTCCTAAACCAGTCCTGGGTATACCTCCAACCCTGGACTTCCCACGTTATATCGAAATTATCTATTTACGTCTTTCCTGGCCTGTAGGTCCCTCAAAGGCAGTGGCCTCATCTCTTTTATCTTTTCCCTGGATCCAGCACAGAGAACTAGGTTATGTGTTGATGAACTAAACTACCATTTTTTCTTGATTCTTAAAAAACCATCCGTCTCCACTCTGATAGTAACCAGTCTCCCCCATCATGCATTCTTCTTACCCTGAGAAAAGTACATTAACCAACTCGTAGCTCAGGGCTACGAGTTGCTTGAGGCAAATGCACTTAAGAAATTTACACACAAGACTTTTTTGCCTGTGCAAAAAAGCCCAGTCTAAGAAAACAGGCTTGTTAAAAATGCCATAAAGCCACCTACTATAAAAGCTCATTTTGCCCTAAGTTGGGGAGGGTGGGCATTTGCGGTCTTCTTTATTTACAAAGCCCGGCTGGCCGCGAGGCCTACTCCCGCCCACAGGCAGACGGAAGTTCAGCTGGTAACAACTTGCACTCGGATCTCAGAGGGCCACCCACCGCCAGCGCCCAGGCCCAACGGCGGCCACTTTCTCCAAGACCGGGCGCTAAGGGGGTCACCTTCTCCAGGGCAGCTCCTCTTCCTCCTGCTCGCTCTCCGTCACCGACCCCTCTATCACCGTCTCATCACTGTCCCAGTCAGCACCTTCCTCCATCTTTGCCACGCTCCCTTCTTATCCTCCTTCTCTCCTTCCTTACCGAAAAAATAATAATAAAAATAAGGGGGGGG